GGAAAGTAATAATAAAAGCAAGTTTTCCTCCTTCTCTTTTTTAAGGGTTAAATTGCGCAAACACCAACTCTACTGGAAAAGAGAAAAAAAAAAGTGAGAGGTTGTCCGTGAGGGAGTGCCGGCAGTGCGGCGGCAAGCGAGGTGCCGGCAGGGCGAGAGGGGAGGACGGGAGAGACGCTTAGGCAGGCGTGGACGAGGATCACGCTCCAGCGCAAGGAGAGGCACGAGCCCCGTCGCCAAGAAAGGAGAAGCAGAAAACAAAACAAAAATATATAGGCACCGCCACTCACCGGACTCTACGCATATACACAAAGAGATACATAAAGAGAGACGGGGGAGGGCACGCACGGCGAGGCCGTCACAGAAAACACAAGCACCCTGCTGGGGTGGAGTCCAAAAACAAACAAACAAGCATTGCATTAGCATCCCCCACTCACACACCCCTCTTTAGGTACATACACACATACACACACAGAGAGAGAGAGGAGGGAGGAGAAGAAAAGGTGTCCAGAGGTGCGTGCATGTATGCGGCAGGCGCCAGTAGGCATGCAGTGCGTCATATACATCGGACGATTCTGTCGTCCGCAAATATTCACATGCGTGTCCAATTCCCCCACAGTCCGAAAGGCAACGCGATTAAAAAAGCGAAGACAAAAAGAATAACACACACAAACCGTAAGAAAAATAAACATAGTGGCAATGAAAGAAAAAAATCAGAGACGTAACATATACATACATAGATGCATATATATATATATAATTAAAATAAACAAATAAATAACAACGCCGCTTTCACGGAATCTTCTTTTCTATATTTCACCCTTGTCGCTTCTCCCTTCACGCTCTCCGTGCCTTTAGGTTTGCCACGCACACAGAACTACGCGACGCGGCAGCGCTAATTGATGAGGCGGGTGATGATGCGCTTCGGCTGCTCCCGCAACGCGTAGTGCAGGCCGGTGACCACGGCAGGGTCGATGGTGCGCCTCTCCACCAGCACCACGGCATGATCGACGCCGCCAAACACGCGCACGGCGCGGTGGCCGCCCTTCTCCAGGCCGGCCGGGGAGATGAGGGGCGGCAGCGCCTCTGTGTCGCGAAAGGAGTGACTCACCCGTTGGCCCTCCTCGCCATCCAGGACCCCGGAGAACCTAAGCTCGCCTCCGCGCGTCAGTGCAAGGGTGTAGTGTCGCCCCATCACCGCCTCCTTCACGCCATCGAGGACGTGCGTTGGGAACATCACACAGTCGCCTGACATGGACAGCTGCTGCCGCTCGTTTGCCCCCCAGGCGTACATGTTTCCCTCGTCGGTGAGACCAAAGCTGGAGAAGGGGCCGCAGCCAATGCGCGCAAAGTGAACGCGAGTGGACACCTTACAGGGAACATAACGATCCTCCATTGTCCCAAGCCCTAGACGACCGCAGGTGCCAATGCCCCAGGTGAATATCTCTCCAAGCGCATTCAACGCCACGCCATGCCACGCCCCCGCGGCTACCGAGACAATACCAAATAAACCCGATATCTTTACCGGCATCAGCACGCTGGCCTGGCTCTCAGGTCCCACTTGAGTCTGGATAAGGTTTGGAGGCACAACGGAGGGCAGGGGTTGCAGCCCGTTACCACAGCACTCAATAATGCCCCAGGCGTACACTTCGCCCGTGATGGCGAGGGCTAGGCCAAAGAAGCAGCCACAGGAAATTTGAATGATTAACTTATCGGCTAACCACTTGATCTCGCGGGGTTCGTTTATTATTCGATAATGTTTTGGGTTCACACCAAGTCCACACTGGCCGTAGGTGTTGCTTCCCCAGGTAAACACACGTTGACTCTCACTGAGGGCCGCAGCAAAGCAAACGCCAGCAGCAACCTGCGCGATCGTCGTCCGAAAGAAATACCCCACACGCATGGCATGACGCATCACAGGCACCTTTTCTGAGGTAAAGTCCTTCACGTGACGAACATCAACGCCTAGCTGGCCCCAGCCACCGAGTCCCATGCTGTAGCAGGAGCCACGTCGCGTCAGCAAAATGGAAAAGCCTTGCCCCAAACCCGCACCTAACAATCCATCCTTTAACTCAATCACTCGAAGTGCCGGGGGAACATCGCCGTGTGGAACCCCAAGTACGAGCAGGGACAAGGTTTTGGGTATCGCCAAGGAAAAGTTATGGCAGGATCCGCCAGAAATCCATAATGTTGTGTAATTGTCCAAGATGTGATAGCCACGCACCATGCGCATGCTGTACCCAGCACCTATGCCTAAGCCTAGACCTGTCCCGTAGGAAACAACCTCCCCTGTTTCTAGAAGAAGCAAGGTGTGGTGCCGCCCACACGTAGCCGATATCACTTTATGACAAGAAGGGACGTACATGCAACGACAGGTGGTGATCTTCATCTCACCCATGACCCCGCACTGTCCTGCTTGGTTGTCGCCACAGGCATAGACCAAACCTTTGGCAGTCACAAAGCAGGTATGGAAACTACCGCACGCCACCTCTGTGACTTTGGAGTCAATCGTTGTAATAAGCTTTGGCGTTGTCACGTCACTCTCACTTCCATGGCCAAGCGCCCCATTTCTCCCAAGTCCCCATGTGTATGCCTGACCATCCGTGCTAACCGCCACGGCATGCCACGGCCCCATTCGCAAAAGTGTTATAGATTTGTCTTCTAGCGCCTTTATCTTGACCGGTTCACTCACCACCATCCGATTCTCGGAACCGACCTTGAGTCCAACCACGAACTCGCCCGGCACCTGCTCAAGCACGTCACTCTCATCACCGAGGAGAAATGTGTGTCCCCAACCGTAGACGGAACCGGATGCGGTGAGTACAAGAACCGTAAAGTTTGCACACGCCACTTGAATCACTTTTTCACCTCGAATGGTGCGACGTTGTGCTGTGGGAGAACACTTAATTTCCTCCTTGGGCGAGCATTGAAGGTAGTTGTTTGCGCCCCAGAGAAAAACGTCTCCCCGCACCGACAAGGCGGCAAGAAAGGCAAAACCACCTTGAACATCTATAAGCATATCCTCCCTTGGAAAGGTGGGCAACTCAATCTGTAAAATGGCAATGGGAAGTCCATTCTCGGTGGCGGTGACGAGCGGACACAGCTTCGGGTTGGGAACCCCAAGTTCCCCCCACCGCCCGCTGCCCATTGTGATGACTGTACCCCGCGACCCCAGCCATACGGAGGAGGTTGAGGAGCACCCGATCCGTAAAGCCTTGTCACGACCCCCAACCATCAACGGGGTAAGAAGGTTGCAACGATAGGTGGTGCCAAGTTCGCCATTACAGCCGGATCCCCAGCCCACAATGACACCGTCTTCCATAACAAAACGCTGTAGCAGTCGATGCACACTGGGTGGCACATTGCCGAGGTCCATAAAAAGGTTGGCCAAGGGAGAGCCGGGGAAGTTACTAGGCACGCTCATAGCGGCTGTTGCGAATCTCACACTTTTATTCTTGATATGTTTCTTTGTTTTTGTGTGTGTTTTTTTTATTGCTTTGGCCTTTTCTTTTCCTCCGTTATACGCTTCCGCTTCGAATAAACGCGTCTGGCCTCTTATTCAAAGAAAAAAAATCTATAAGCAATAATAATTTTTTTTTAAAAAGAGGGAGGGGGGGGGGGGAGGAGAAAAAAAAAACTCAGCGCGAACATCCGTAGAGAAACGCACATGAGCCACGTAGTGGTGGCGGGAAGAATGGGAGGGGGCAACAACAGCAAAAGGCGGGTCTGCATTTACTTACGCTTTTCTCGCCTCGTCCCAAAACACAGCGGGTGAAATAACGCCAACACACGGCAAAACAAAGGACAAAAACACCCTCGCCCCTTCTTCTTATCCGCCGACCACCCACAGACACATAGTCAAGCACCAAGAAAGGGGCGGAGGACAACAAATAACCGCGCCCGACTCACCTCGCCACCTTCGTAGAGAAGTGAAAAGTGGAAACAGAAGAAATGGAGGGGGGAAGAAAAATAAGAAAAGGCTGGGCCGCTACGGGAATTGAACCCGTGACCTCCTGTACCCGAAACAGGAATCATACCACTAGACCAAGCGGCCAACGGCGGGCGCAGGGCAAACCTCAGGCCATTCGCTTTTTTCCTCCCCTCGCGGCGCCGGACAAGGCGGAGTGGCACGCGCACGAGCAACACTTTCCCACCCCCACCCCGCTCCATCCCACCACGCAGGCATTTGCCGCTACTACTAAAAACATCCATATGGTTGTTGTTGGTTTTTTTTTTTGCTGTTGCTGCTGTTGTTGCTTCTGTCGATTTTACGCGTTCCCCGTTGCACTGAGGCGCGTCGGCCCAATTTGCACGTCAATGCAGCACGCCTCGCCATCTTCGTTGTAGGCGTTCATCTGAAAGGTGCCACGCACCACGCCGGAGGTGCCACACAAGCTGACGCCGCTCTCATACGTGTGAGACTCTCCAGGCGCCAAAAGGGGAAAGTTGCCCGCCACACCCGGACCAATCACCTCCGTGACTTGCCCCATATCCTCATCAAAGACGACCCAGTGACGCGAGAGCAGCTGCACGTGCCACTTTTTTGTGTTTCGCGAGGACCCATAGTTTCGAATAAACACAACGTAACGAAAAATGTACTCCCTTGGCGCAGTAGTGGCGCTCCTGCCGCTACTCCGTGGAAGGGATTCCCGCATCTCCCCATCATCGGCGGCATCCGGGGCATCGTCGTCGGGGACTCTGGAGCAAACGTACTCTGTCCGCAGCTCCACCTCCACGTGATCAGACACGGTGACGGTGCGTGTGGGAATGGAGGCGCACATCGCCTGGTACTCCTCCGCCGTCTTCACGTCGTTCTGCATCACGACGGGAACATTGCCCGACATGTTTGACGACGCAGCCATAACGAGCAAGGCATCCACTATCATCGGAAACCTGAAGCTTGTACGCATGTTTCTCGTGTATAACGGCTCGGGCGGTATCAAAAAACGATATAAGGGGAGACGGTCCAAAACCATGCAAAACACGACATGACGCGATATTTTTCGCACTTTGCGGCTCACAGAGCCCTCAATAAAAATGGTTCCATTGGCGATAGTGACGACGTCGTCCTCGCCTCCCTCATGCGCGGGGTCGTGCAAGACGGCGCCGCCTTTTTCGGGCCCACCACCTTTGCCTTGCGCTCCCGTGGGCTTTTCAGTCTGCAACGCCCTCGCAGAGGAGTGAGGCGGCGAGGCGGCGGCAGTTTGCCCCTCCACCTGCGCTCTCGCCATTCCGTTCGACGCCAGGGCATCATTGAGTCGCCGCAGGATATCAAACGCGGCTGACAGGCGCGCCGCAGGTGCATCGCTGGCGAGCCCAGTGATGCTTGGACGGGAAAACGCCGATCGCACCACCCGCCGTGGTGTGTTGCCGTACCCGGCCGCGGCAAAGTCATCCATGCGCAGCATGACCCCAAACACGGTGAAGCACACATGGCTTGGCTCCTTGTACCGCAACGACACCCTCCCCAGCTGCTTGAGGATCTGTCGGTACGCCAAGCACTCAAGAGACATTACAGTTCAAAGTTTCTCTACCTGCTCCAGCAAAGAGAGAGAGCGAAAAGGAAAAAAAAAAGGAGGGTAGGGAACGCCGCGTGAGGAGCGGCAGGGAACGGAGGAAAAACAGCGCCTATGGGGCAGCCACAGCCTAGGTCCAAAAGTAAGTGCAACACAAGGAAACACACAAAAAAAAATCTAATAGAGACTCACCCTCACACTTTGCATATCCTCTCTTTCCTTCTACTGAAGTGTGTTGTTGTCGTCGATGTTGTTGTTGTTGTTGTTTTTGCTTTTCTCTCGTTTTCTCCCTTTTACGTTGCCTCTCTTCCGTCTTCTCGTTCTTTGGGCGGCCGCAACCGCGCCGTCGTTCGCCCCTATCCCTCCCGCTGCACGCCGCAGTTCGCCTTCTCGGGGGACTGGAAACACGTCTTCAAGTTGCTAATGGCCCTCGCCACCTGCGCCGCGCCTGGGCGGCCCCACTCCAGCACGGCGAGCACCCCGTCGCCGCCGCGGAAGCAGCGAGAGAGGCACACCTGCGCGGAATCGCCCTCCACAAACGCGGGCGGGTCGCCGGCGCGGCTCTTGTCTCGCGGCACCGCCGACAGCCGCTGCGGGGTAAATCTCTGGAAGCACATCGTCCTGTCCGCCTGGTGCACCTCGCCGGCGACCGCGCCGCTGCCGTCCTCTTTGATGACGACGCCGCACAACGCACCAAACGCGGCGTCACGCACCTCCGAGGCCACCCGCGTCGGAAACAACACCTCCGACGAGGAGGACGAGGAGGACGACGACGCTCGCTGCCGCCCCCGACTCCGCGGAGCGAGGGAGCCAGAGCCGCTCGTCAGGGGTGGGTGGGAATCGCCACGCTGCGGCACGCCGCACTGCCCATTGGCGTTCGAGCCCCAGACGAAGAGGTCCCCAACGTCGGTGATTGCGAAGGTGTTGAACGGCCCACACCCCAGCTGCCGCACGCCGTGGGCAAACACCAACGCCACGGGGGTGGACGCAACCGTACTGAATGAGCCTCCGTCCCCCAGTGGACCTTTTCCCCAGGCATAGATTCGATGGTTGCAGGTAAGCGCCACGGTGTGTGAGACACCCGCCGCCACCGCGACAACGTCGCTCAGCACTTCAAGAAGCCGCGGGGTCGTTACGCACGGGGGTTCGACATCGCCGTGGCCACAGTAGAGAGCTTCTCCCCAGGTGTAAACCTCACCGTCATGTGTGAGGGCCACGGCGAATGTGCCACCACATGCCACCTGAACAACCTGCCTCGAGCGCAACGCCGCAATCTCTCTTGGAGTGAAAACGGATTCATGAAGCGGCACAGAGTCACCGTGCCCAAGTTGCCCATGCGAGTTCCATCCCCAGCTATACACACCACAGCGACTGCCGATGCCAATGACGTAATCGGCACCACAGTCAAGTCCGACCAACACCACCTGCTCGGGTAGGGCAACCTTCGTAAAGGTGTTGGCGCAGGCAGCCGTCGTCACGTCTCCCGTCCCCAACTGGCCTCGCTGCGATTGACCAATTGCGTGCACCTCCCCCGCCTCTGTGACGATGAGCAGAAACCCATTTCCTACCGCCACAGCGCAGACACCTTGTTGTAGGATAACTTGATTTATTCGCATTAGTTCACCCTTGGGCAAAATTTCCGCTGACAACCCCACAGGGTGAAGAGAGAGCAACCGACGGAGGCCCAGCGCCATGCCGTGGGTTGCCTTACTTGCCATGGACAGGACAAGGTAGCCGCGGAAGATTCGTTGGGGGGTAATAAACCGTGCTCCAGAGCCCAAGTCCATGCCACAGGAGCGAAGTGTCCCACATGACATGAGATCGCCATCCTCCAACAGCACACAGGTGTGCTCCCGTCCACCGGAAACTGCTATGGCACGCTTTGGCAAAGGAAGATGCACCGGGGTTGTACGGGGTGCCTCACCGCTAATCCCCAGCTGATGGCAGTTGTTTTCTCCAAAAACAAGCACAATTCCCTCCTTGGTGAGCACCGCAGAGTGAAATGATCCACAGCTAGCGTCGATAACCACATGTTCTATCAAGGAGTCAATAAGGCATATTTTGCCACCACTGTGTCCGGGGCCGTTCCCCAGACAACCACTGCGATCCATGCCCCACGAATACACATGTCCGGCGGCTGTGATGGCAAGATGGTGATAAGAACCTGCCCGCAACGCCACAATTTCTTCTGGAATATGATTGAAACCTATCACGTGCTTTGAACACTGTATTCGCGGCTCTGTATCTGTCTCACGAAGGTGCTCAGGCGGCGCGATTGTCCCAAGCATGGAGGCTGCACCCCAACTCCCCACCATGCCAGATGAGAACGCCACCGTGGCCGAAACACTTCCGCATGCCACCTCTTTGATCCTCCCACAACGCTCGGGAAAATCCATTGTGACTGGACTCGGGAGCATACTCGGGGTTGGTAGTAAGCACTGGCCACAATCATTCCGCCCCCAAATGTACATCCGACTTGTTTCAAAAACAATCATCAGAACAAAGTCCGACCCAGCCTCAATTCTTCCAATTTGGTCCCCTGGACGAATTGGCACAGAGTAGAAGCGTTGCCGGCCGTCACCGTGAACATGCGGAAAGAGAACGGGGACATCCTTGGACCGGTCACACCCTATTTGTCCATGCTCATTGCTCCCACCGGCGTAGAGCTTATTGTCCAGCGTCACCACGTAATAGGAATTCGCGCCACAGCTCATAGCAACCACCGGAATGGGAGGCACCAAGGCAATGGGTGGTGAAAAGACCACATCAGAGGCCGTTGAAGTACGCTCGGGGTTCACGCTTGTTGTCGAGCTCGTGCGGCCCCGCGAGACAAGCACGGTGCCCCACTTGAGCAACAATCCTTTGGAGAGATACCGTGAAAACAACGGCTCCCACTGCTTCTCATAGTTTCTGGCCTCCAAGAAACGACGAGAGGCAATCGGAAGGGTGGAATGAACCGAGAGACGCGGCGCCTCAGGAGCCTCTTGGCCCAGCAACGCGGCGGGGGCCAGACGAACGCCCAACTCGGGCAACTTCGGGTCACAGCCAATACCAAACTTCTGTGCAAAGGCAAGAACAGGGGTAGGGAACTGCGGCAGCATCCACAAATTCTTCTCACTGGCGTTATACAGTGGATTTTGGCGAAACGGCACAAACGATGGCTGCTCCGGCAAGTCGCGCCAACGACGCTGGCGGGCATTGCTGTGCTCTTCCCCACCCGCCAATGACCGTGGGTGGTTGGCGCCCGCCAGCCCAGGCTGCGCAGTTGGTGCTGACGAGGATGTCTGGGCGCGGCCCGCGCGTTGGACGCTCTCGCGCTGAGGCAAAATATCCGACGCAGGAACGTGGAAGAGTTTCGTCAAAACGGAGATAAACGGCAAGATGTGTGGCAACATCTCCGCTGAGGCATCGAGGTAGCGATCAAGACGCATCTCGCGGCAGCCGCTAACACCCACGTCGTGCAGGACGCGGCAGGCCTCGTCGGCGGTACTCCCTCCGCGCAACATGGCGGCGCAGAGGATGAGTTGGGCCAGCACACCGTGTTCAAGTGTCAAGCCTGGCGCGGTGTCGTGTGTGTCACGTCGTGTGCACTTGCCCGCGACCAGGAGAAGACGGACGAGGTGCCGGTAGAGGTCCTTCTCCCACGGAGCCAGCGAAGAAGAAGCGGGGGAGGCGAGGGGCTGCAGCTCCCTCACACCGCGCAGTATTTGCGGAAGCACCGAGTTATCCCCTCCCAGTAGTTGATCAACGCATGATTGCATCGGAAGCAGGCAAAGCAAAGCAAAGCTGAACTAGAATAAAAATGATAAAAATAAGAACTAGAACAATGTATTTCCCGGCATATATATGTATATACCCCTTGCTGTATATTGTTATTGGCAGCTGCGCACACGCTTAGTCCGTTGTGCCTGCTTTTCCCCCGATATAGAGGGAAAAGTGACAGCACCGTTTGCACCTTTCGATTGTGTGTGTGTGTGTGTGTGTGTGTGTGTGCTTGGACGATGTTGCGCCTCGTGGCACCCCGCCCTGCTGCAAATACAAGACCCACGCACGCTGAGAGAGGGAGAGAGAGAGCAAAAAGAGAGAAAGAAAAAAATAATAATAATAATAATAAATAAAATGGAAGCATACAAAAGCAAAACCCAACAACAATAATAATAATAAGTGGGGAGGGCGCGGACAGCACTGGGAGAAAACACAGAATGAATTCCCCTCTGCATCCGCTCCTCCCTTTTGCCTTCACATCTGAGCCCCGGCGTACGCCTGCCAAACCCACCACTCGCCGTCCTTGGCGTGCAGTTTGCCACTTCGCCTTTTTTTGCAGAACGGGCTCAGTCGCGGCAGGTTGGCAGGAGACCCCCCAAGCAACACCCGTGATGGACGAAAAAATAAAAAAGCACACACACAGACACAACAACGACAACAACAACAGCGGGCAGGGCGTGCCCTCCTCATTGCGTCAAGGCGATGCCTCCAGCCTCCAGCCTGGCGACCCACGCCGGGTACGACTCCACGTCATCCGGCAACACGACAACCTCCGCCTCGTCGCACCGCTCCACCTCGATCCCGCGCCCCGCCGCGGCGCCCGCCGCCGTTAGCCGCACCTCCTGCCCAGTCTCATGGTTGGAATTCATCTCGTCGGCGGCGAGCACGGCGCTGCGGTAGTCCGCAAACCTCACAAAGGCTGTGCCCAAGAAACGCCCAGTGCGTCGGTGCCGCACAAACCGCACATCCACCACCTCGCCAAACTGAGCGAAGACGGTGGCGACGTCCCCCTCGGAGAGACTGACGGCGCCCTTGTCGTCCGCGTGGTCAAGCTGCCGCACGACAACCCACGCCGATTTGCCAAGGAGGCTGTGATACTCCTCGGTGTAGGCGCCGGACTTGCCGTTCTTGTGCCGCTGGATGCCTCGCGGAGGCATTGCACACGAACAATCCCCCCTCCCCTCCCTCACGCAGTCGCCAGAAACACCTATAATCGCCCCCTCCCGCAAGGAGCCGAGACGAGTGAAGCGGCGGGAAACAAACAACAATTCCTATTTGGCCCATGGGAAAGCAGAAGGAAGAAGGAAGTCGTCAGAGACACAGCCGCAACACATTCTTCTGCCTCCTCGCAAACTTCAAATGTGTTATTTATTTTTACAAAAGAAAAAAAAAACGGGGGTGTACGATGCGCACACGACGCATCCAAGCAAAGAGAGCGATATGCATTGTATAAAAAAAAATGCATTTGGGGGGCACTTGAAAGAGAGGTGCACACAAAGTGGGGCGTTTTTTTCTTCTTATCGTTGTTGTTGTTGCTGTTTGGTTGCTGTCGGTTGTTGTTGTTGTTGTTTTCTTTTTTTTGCGCCGGATGACCACCGCAGCGGTGCGTGTGCACGTGCGGACGGCGGGGCAGGCGCTTCTGTGTACGCGCTCAACGGCCCAAACGTCTTTCCTTCTCAGCGAAGGAAAAGAAGCACAAAACAAAAACAAACAGAAAAAAAAACCCCACAGCAACAACAAGCGACACACAGTGATGAGTCATTAAAACACAGATTTTGCCAGTTCGTTGTGGCGCCTCAGCTCGGCCAAGCTCAGCGCGGGCATGGAGGGCACA